AGCTATCATTGAACACGGGTACGTTTAACAGGATAAGGGAATTAGACTGACTGACCATCTTCGCCTTGGGAGTCTTCACTTTATGAAGATTGTTTTTTCCAGTCGGTTGGGCTGGAGCATCCTTCTTACTGTTTTTACCAAGTTTTGGTAGTGTGGAGAGCTGCATGAGACTGTGTCGAGACAAAAGAGTGGCATGCTTTTTCTGCTATCCGAAGCCATGCTGTGTGAGACTGTGCCAGGGTGACAAAGTAGGCAAATGTACCAGAACCATCGGCACGGGTTATTTTTTGGCATAAACTCATAATATGGTTTTGGCACCCCTTCGTCAAAACGGCAGTGTACCCATCGTTTGCGAAAATTGCATTCAAATGCTGAACCAGTTTAAGAAAGTATAATACTACAGTCCTGACATTTGTCTCCTTTTCTAGATGACGCTTTCGAGGTTTTATGACTTCTTCAGCGTTTCTTCTTTGTTTACCGTGTGTCACGCACTGGCTTCCAACGGATACAGGTGTAGTATCAAGTCCACCTGATATTGTCTGTATTGTTTCAATGCTATACTGTGGCAATGTAGGTGTAGTACCAGAACAGGTGAGATGAACACGGGTCTTTAGAATCGGTATGTGAGATGGGGTTGTTGTCCCTTGGTTATTGCCCCCTCTAGCTGAAGCTCTTTGGGCTACAGAATATGGTGTTCTAGTGCTTTTTCTAAGGCCATTTTCAACAGTAACATTAACAACCACTATTACTTATGCTGTATAAGAATACGGGAGCAACTGTATCTACCCAACAGAACAAGAATAAGACTGGTAAAGCACAAGATAAGGAAAAGAAAAGGATTTCGACTTTACCTAATACTTTTTGGTTAATCGGCCTCACAACAATCACGTGGTAGACCAACAAGTCTTGTTTATCTGAACGAATGGAGAAGATGCTATTACAATTGTACCACCTGAAGCTTTGGCAGCAGTTCGAGATAGCTGGACTTACCACTCGGAGATTTGATATGGAAGTAGTGGTTGAATTTAATTCACCAGCTAGGAAGATCAGGTTTCCCAAGTGGATAATTCACAAAATAGATATTTTCCGGTTAGAGAAGAAAAAGCATGTCGCATTGAAGGAGCGGCAGGTAATTTCAGAATAATTGGCTACAACATTTATCACTGAACATTGGATGCTGACCCTCACTGTTTAAGTCAACTTGTTTATCTGAAGGCTTCCGGTCAAGCATCCACGCCACTTGGCACGCCGTCATGTTACGTTCGTTCGTTCGTGCACGATCCCTAGCAAGTTAGGCAATCATCTCTCACTCCTATTTGGTCCCGAAATATAATTTGGACGGGCAATTCTGGTGTTTTGCCTTGTCTTTGGTCTACGCGGAACGAATACTATAGAAGTTGTGGATATTAGAACTTGCATTATTATACTTCGTACTATCCGTAAGCGCCAACACCCTTAGCCTCTAAAGTAGCTTACTGCATACAAGGGTTGTTCATTTACGAACACATTTGTCGAAATGATAAGAATAAGCTGCACAAATTACTTCGAAAGATATTAAAGAAGAGTATGAGCGATTGATATTTGTTCATAACGATGCTACCTTTATCCGGTCTGGCGGTTAGAGTACCGTCTACGTCAAAATCAGCCCGTCTTCATAATAGAAACCGCTGACAGTATTCCGGGACTGTGGTGCTTGGCACTATGTCATATAATGCCTATTTGAAAATTACAAGTTCTGACAATGTCACACCACTAGACACATTGAAGCTCACTGTAAACAGAGTAATCAACCAAAATCGAGAAACCAATCCCATCGAATTCTCATGCACGAAACCATGAGTATCACAACCACCTACCAGACTAATAATTTCGTGCCATGTAAATACTTTAACGTGACGATTAACAAGTAGGAAGTGCGTTCGCGAACCGACACTTCACGTGATATAACTAAAACATTGAAAAATTTGTAGTAGTAATTGGGATATTCCACAAAGACAAATCAGATATCAATGAGCACAGTCAGAAGAAGACTCCTCCAAATGGGAAGTTAGTGTGTAATATCAGCTTTCACGAGAGACGGTTTGACGGTACATAATGTGCGCATAATTCCAAACTAAACAAGCTGGAATAGACTACTCTGAAGAGCTGCGACTTTCCGAAATCACTTTAAAGAGTACAATGTAACAAGGTTTAAGCGATTGTATCCTCAACATTACTTCAAGATTTTAAGATGTGCCAGCCAGCACTGGGATACCGCACATCATGAAAGCAGTTCTACAACCACGACATCTCAGTCAATGTTTGGTAGTTCACCTCTTAATGATGGTACATAATTAGCTCACCACTTTTGTAAACATTCGTGTTCAACTATACGCACTGCTTTTAATTCCTAATTTAAGCATGGATTTGTAAATAGTTATCAATTTGACTTGATTCCACTGTGTTCTTTCTGACAAAGACTAAACTCACTGGGAGTCACCACCCATTTCTTCAAAAAATATCAAATCCCAAGAGAGAGTAAATCAAAAAGTTGGAAAGAATCCAGTTAGAGTTTTTAGTCAGTATTTAATAATAATAACTGGAATAACTTCCATTGGAAGTTTGCTAGTGACACTTAAAATATGCATGGAAATATTAGAATAAGGTTAAGTAACGTGGATATCCATGCACACTATTTATCGATTAATTTGAGTAGTTGAATACTACTCACATCGATCAGCAATCTTCGGTAGCCAGAGCGAAGTGGTGCAGACACTTGATGGCCATTTAGCTCACCTGGGACTGAGACACACCGGGCATACAGTAAACAAGCTCATCACCCTAATGGGTGAAACAGTTGTCTAATGTTTCAATTACTTCGATCCAGTTAGCAAGGTCTACTGGGGGATGCGAGTGGTATCCAACTACTCATGTCAATCAGTCAGTAGTATGTGGTGTCATGAATAAATGCTTTTCCACTTTTAATTCAAGTGGTTCGTGAGAATTTATTTGGTTTCGAGATCGTCTTGTGACTGATTGACATTGGTCACAGATGCGCTATGCAACCTGGTGCCTTGGAGCACTGTTTGGTTCAGACCTGCTCTGTAATGAAGATTCTTATGAAGAAGATGCTTTTGATAACTTTTGCTGAGCGTACAGCAAGTTAGTCAGTGATAAAAATTGTTATCCAGCTAAACAACTCCACATGAACCACTGAATTATGTTAATAACCCAGAACTGGCTAAAGAATAGCTACAAGGAACATCATGTAGAAGTCATAGTAGAAAGCAGTGATATTTTGATTCAGCGATGTTGAGCAGGAAGATGGTTGGTTATTGACTAATAAAATTAAATAATGACAGAAATGCTGACTGAATGATGATGTTAACTGAAAAATTACGAACTATACGCTACAAACCCGATCATACACTCTTTGTAAAACAGAATGGCTGCTGGTCAAGCAATAATGAAACATCTGATAGATATTTAACATTAGGTGAACATATTGAATTCCTTCAGAATAATAAACAAAAAAGCAAGCATAAGTTTCCTGAATTTCGTGGCTGCCACCTCTACCAAACGGTTAATACCTGACTTAGGCATTCATAAAGAAGCTGTAGTGAGACTTTGTTTACCTTGTAAATTGTCTTTTAGCCTTAATTCATCATGTAATCTTTCGTTACGTATAAGTGATGATTTCTCTTCAGCCTTACTTAGTTACACCATAATTTATCAAAAATCATGCTTCGTATATCTGATATCTACCTATGTAAGCTCAACCCACAACATGGTTTTCACATTTCATTGGTTTACTAACAATTCTTATTGTCCCACTTAATCTTACAATTTATGTACCTCAACATCTTGTTGCTACCCTTCCTTCTCACTTCTGTTTTTATTCGAGAAAACTTGACCGCATTGCACAGATGAGTACAGTAGTATTTGAATATATTTTACTAACATAACATTTCTATTCATGTGTATATCATGAGCACACTTAATCATGGTTTACTGTCTCTGTATTTTATTTTCAATGGTCTAAAGCATGCTAAGATTGTAATAAGACTGTCAGCGATTATTATTCAGGTCGTAATCATTTGACAAGAGATGCACTGATGAAATAGAAATGGATCCGATTAATCCTGCTCCATATGTTACTGTTATTGCTTCGTTCAAATTTCGTTTCACAAATTCCTACTTTGTAATTCACTAATCTTTGTATAAGGCATGCAAAAATTGGAAGACAAAGTTTGTCTCTCCATAGGATAACTAATCATTCAGTGATCAACTTGTTTACAACGGCGAACAAGTGGTAAATTGGATCGTCTATTGGTAAAGTCGTTGATTGAATGAAATTCCATACTCATATGAGACACTGTTTCCACTAAGATGGTAGATATGCCTACTTGATGAGTGCCAGTAAGAATGAAACTCAAGTGGGAATGAAAACAAGAGCATTCTGTGATGCATAGCAATGTAACTTGTACATTGTTTGATGATGCTGTAATACACATTCATATGATAACACACTCATATATCATGCTAAGTCGACTAAAATACAGTATGCAAGAGAACAAGCATACTGCCAATGTGTCATCTGATTCATAAACAACTAAAATAATGTAATAACAGGTGAGTGTAGAGAACTGGCTTTACAACAAAACAAAAACAGAAAAGTACATCTGTTTAGATGACAACACGGTCAAGGTTAAAGCAGTGATATACAGTAAATGAGACACAAAATACCTATTTCAGCGATAGTGAAATGTGAGCAGCTTATACACATAGATAAATATCGATATAAATATATATATATATATATATAGAGAGAGAGAGAGAGAGTAGCGTTTCTATCATCTGATAGTGAAACATGGCCGTAATGACGACAACCAATGGGATTTCAGGCTAACTGCTGATTATGTTGAAGGGGTTGGATACATATAAAAAGATACGTGTATATGCGTATACTGTCGGCCGATACGCAAATACTGAACAGCGATAGTTTAATTTTATTCTGAGAAATGATTTACAGATGGACAAGTTTACTAACTGTGAGTTCCTTCTGTCATGAAAATTTTTAAAAAAGAACGTGCAATGCGTATCTTATCCATTTTATGCATCATTCATTATTATTATTATTAATATTATTATTATTATTACTCATATTATCAATTGTGTTGACTGGTGGTGGTTAGTAGTGAAATTCGAAAAGTTTGTTTCCTATCACTTGGAGCTCGTCAGCTGAATGCACCTGTACATTCTCAGCGAGTGACTGTGTTCTCACTGATACTTAAAACCTAACACAAACATCACTTCAATTGCAGAAACGTTATCCACTAGGCCACGAGAAACACATCGTATACGCAGGGTATCATTTGTTATTTGTTGCAGGTATTTTGGATTACTTCTTGTCGAATTGTCTGTACTATTACGCTGACATGTCAACAGGGACCAACATATTTCGGCCCAATATAACGAATCAATAGACAATGTAAGATAGCAATTTCAAGAAATATACTTCGTAATACCTACCAGATGATAATCAGTATGAATATATACCACAGATATTGATTACATTTTTATCGACCAGCTTCAATTTGCAGAAACTAAATTTGTGATGCACCGTAGTTTAGTCCTTCTCTCTCTCCTGTCAACCGCTGCCAACCACTTAGCATCTGTTCAGAATGACTAGTCACCTAGCTTCGGTGACCATATTGTGAATTTGGCTGAAGATAGAATTCAGTCAACACTAACGCCAAGGACCAACTGCATGACACTCGTAGGTCGTTAGGGGAGAATCAATGTACACTTAAACTTACCTATCATCCTTAAGTGTAGAAGTCAAAGACATCACCACTAGGGGAATTATTTTACAATTGACATCCTGTAAGACATAATGATGAAACCACTGAATTAGTGTGTAGATGGTAACAATAATGATTGATAATTATCAAATCCTCAATAATTGTAATGACCTATTGGTGAGACACACAAATAACAAAACATTTTGTTTTAATTTTTTTCAAAGCAATGCTCTAGCTGCTAATGCGTCTAAAATATAAATATATATATAAAATAAATCGAAACGAAAATGCACTGCTCTGTGTTTACGTTTTAGATGGTAGACTAGAAGATACACTGGATCTAGGTTTCCAAAGTTCAATGGATCGTCAGCATAGAAGATGTTTGTATTCATTTCAGGGCTGTCAACCTCCCGCACTAAGAATGTATGTTGGGGAATTTACGTCTAAGCCATTCTGGTCACAAGTGACATGTTGCATGCGTGAAGTATGTAAATGATTAGGTCAGTAAATGGTAGTGAATGAGGCTGATTACTCCTGCTCACTGAGTCAGGCATAAGATACTGAATCAAAGAAAATATACTTCAGTGTAACCTCTTAAAACATTGCTTGACCTACATAACTTAAAATTTCATAATCGATGTTGAAATATGTAGTGTATTGATAAATTGCCTAGATTTCTACTATTCAAACACACAATATCACCAGTATTGCTACTAATAATATTATTAGCTTAAATTATCTCAAAACTATGCCACAGTGTCCCTTGTTCACTATTTCAGTCTGTTGTAACTCTGAAAATAGTTCCATTCAACGGGGAATTCTCTATGAAGTGAAGTTAGCTAGAGAAATCGTGCAACCAGCTAAAAAGAAGTGTGGAGAACAGCATGAAATGGAAATGTTTTACTGAAGCTCTATGTTCCATTAAGAATCCAAGGGAATAATAATAATAATGGGCGTCTTTGAAAGCCAAGATCTGTCAAACAAGTGTTTCGCCTTACTCCTTCACTCCTCCATCAGTCCACATCTATTAAGTGATGTTGTGTAGAGTTCAGGATTACAGGAATGTCACCATACCACCAGTGATCCATGCGAATCCATCAAACTTTTCATTTTGGTATTGAGTAATTATCATAATGAACAGCTTAGATGACCAGATCAGTGACAACGTTTCACCATGTCTACATCTTGATAGCTCTTCTCGTCACCCTGACTAATCCAAACGGCCTTAGAAAGACCCAAAAGTACATAAAATTGTGTGGTATGGTCATACTACCAGTGCAAGTTTACATGCAGTGAAAATTTTCAATTTCGATAATATTCTCTCCAAGGCATGGAGTAAAATTCGAACTGTTATTATGGCGATGGAGAGTAATTTGGCTAGAAATATTATCAAAACAATTAAGATAATAAATTCATAACCTCGTGTTAACTTAAATTTCAAATTTATTCACAACTTATCAATCCGTCTCACAACTGACAAACATTTTGTTCATACAATCCATACCCCTACGTCACAGTATATGTATATGCATATAGATATATATTTTTTCAAGTATTGGTTTTGTAGCGATTTGGTTTGGTTGTCTGGAGGATTTACCTTGTAAATAAGTTAACTAAAGTCCTGATGAGCACTGAACAACAAAAGAGTTTCCAGTTTTAGTAGGAAAAGAGTGAAGTATGAAGAATAGTGTAATCAGTAAACAACAAACTATTTATTACTGAAATATTCTTCATTAAAAAAACGCATACATTGGCAGGAATCACTGAACCTGAGTTTCATGTTTATTGTGACTTGTCAGAAAGGCATATCTACAATCTGGAATGGACAGTTGTCCCCTCATAGGTTTGAACCCGTGTCACATAGTCAGTCATACAGTTGAAGAAGTTACCACTAAGCTATTCGGGCTCACCGACTGACCTCCGATTGAACTGTAATGGATACATTAATTGGTCACCAGAGAGTAAGCAATGTCACCTATCTATTCTTTAGTGTTGGCAATTACTGGATTCTACCATTCACTTTTGCCATACTATCAACGATCAATAGTTCACCAGTAACATGTGTGACTGCAGCACTGTATAATACGAGCTTGATTCACCAGGAGTGCAGTTACGCCTTGTTGACTACGGTAAAAACTAAGTTCAGAGCTTCTGACTGACTGACACCCACCACCGAAAATTAAACTGTCATTTGGAAGCCTTATTTTCTTAAGGTTTCACGCCACAGTCACCCAGAGCAGGAGTCAGACAATATGACTAAGCATCTCAAAACAAAACTGTATTGTTTGACTAATAAATAGACTTCGACCAGTGACCCACCGGGTGTCATTGGAGCAGCCTATTCAATTCATGATATCTGTGACACTGAAAATTCCCCTCCTTGAGAAGAAGACAGATGACAGTCAGTTAAATGTTAATGTCTAAGACAGCTCCATTCAACTGTATTTCAATTCAACGCTTTGGGTGTTCTATCGCTTCTTCTGATGTTGCTTGACTTGCTTTAAACTGTGTTTTGTTAACACAGTACGTAAGTCAGAAAAGCTCACAGATCATCTCACTCAATAAAATTATGCACTCACAAAACTTTAAAAGAAGTAAATTACTCCTTATGAAAAGTGAAAAGAAAATTTTGTTCATTTTTTCATACCTAGATGCATAAATTCCTAAGGTGTAAACAAATTCACTTTTATACGTAAATACACTATACATTCACAATATGCGATGAGAAATTGATTGTCTTTCATTTAATACTGTTCTTTAATGGATCAATGGATGCATAACCTTGAGATAGTAGATATATATATATATATATATATATCATATATATATATATATATATACAGTAAAGTTAATAGTACTCGTTATTATTTTAAGTATCATAGAAAATGCTGAGTCTAGAATCTTTCTTAATGAGTGCCTTAATTTGAAACAATTTAAATTCTCCTAAACTCTTGTGACATCACTAAAACCTGATAATGAATCGAAGTAACTTAATCGTGAAATGGTAGTAATTTGTTCAGTATATTTAAAATTTAAAATAGAAGAAAAACTTGAATTATGATTAAAATAGTCAGTCATATGGATTGTGAAAGTTTAAAAGTTTAAAAATGCAGATTTGTCATGGCAATGAAAATGAATAATCAGTAAAGTGTGATTTCAAAACTTTATTTAAATATGTAAGGGCATTGTGATGAAACGACTGACTACCTCAAAATTAGTCTCCAATTTTATTATATAGCCTTTAATTTTCCCTGATATTAGCTTATAACACCTTAAAATAATTGTATTTCTCTGTTATCATGTATTCTTGACACTTTTTATATTTCAGACAATTTGTGAGAGCTACACCCTCATTGATTGTTAATTATCTTAACGTATCAGTGAATTTAGTATTTGTCAAGGTCATTTGAAATCTACATATTCTCAATATCATTATCATGTGTTTTGACTGTTGTTTCAGACAGACTACCAAGGAATAACTCATTATCTCAGAATTAATGTTACTTGATAAAGTATCGAGAAGGAAAATTAAAATTAAACTTCGTTCGTAGGATATCCCAAATCATTATGCTTTAGACGAACTGGACATGCATTTTATGGATTGAAATACAAACATCAGTTGCTAACTAAACCTCAGATTCGGTTCGATTGTTAACAGCTGTCACGTGAATGAATGACATCGTCCCCACATTGGATGTCTAGTAAGGTTTCCTATAGAAGACTTAAATCATGCAGAATTCCACAGTGGTATCACACAAGCGGTTGTTGTAAAGTTTGTGTCAGTTCTCATTAGATAGATTCTTAATGAAACCATCTTATATAAGTCCAGTAAGAAGCACTGTTCGGTTTCAAATATAAAAATACATGTAAGAAAGTGTTTTACTAAAGTTTGGTTTGCTAATGCTATCCAGTGTGATACAGAAACTTACACTGAGGAAATTTTGATAGCGAGTACTTTTTAGTGCAATGACGGTGAACAGCTAAGTTGCGAATCTCTTCACGCAGATATCAATTTAACTTCACAAGCATTTCTGTATGCATGTTCTGATTGTTTTCATGGGAAATCTCATTGATTTTATATTTGGTACGATGTTCATTATAATTTCTGTAGAAAGTGTGTATAATCCACCTTGTGAAATTATTCTCTATAAGATACAGTCTAGCAGATAATTTCTTGTCAGAAAAGATTTGTGAGAGATGTTCATCGTTTTGGTCAGCGTCATATGATTATTCATTTGAAATGCCTG